TTTTTTTCAAATCAGGTAGTATCCCCAGGTGCTCGCTTGTCACATGGTCTGTTGTGCACACCTTTCGGTCAGTGCCTATTTCCCCTTGTGGCCAAGTAGGTTTATGTGGTTCACTGAGCCACCATGGAGCACTCTTTTGCCTTGGGCATCCTGTGGTGTTTTAATCAGTTCCCTTGAGAGGCAGTTTTCAGTTTCTCTGTAATGGGAATCATGAGTGCAGTCTGGGTTATCTTTCTCTGCAACTGACCATCCTCAGCAAATGGCTTAAAATAACAGCCATTCTACTGCTTAGAAATTGGGACATGCTCAGCTAGGCGGGTCTTCTGCTCCTGGAGCCTCTGAGGTTACCAATGAAGATGGGAGCTGGGATGCCCAAGCTGACACCTCACTAGGGATGGCTTGGCTTCTTCCTCCCTCCTTACGGTGGTTCCCATAGGCTCTCAGATTTGAAGACTTGGTTCCCAGTGGGGATGCTGTTTGGGGAGGGTATGGAACTTTCAGGAGGTGCAGACATGCTGGAGGACGTACATCACTTCCTGTTCTCTTGCTCTACTTCCTGTGTGTGGTTGAACTGTGATCTGCCAGGGTCTTGCTCTGGCTGCCATGCTTTGTTTTGATTGACACCTGTCTTCCCTGACGTGATGGACTGACTCGACCCTCTGGAGCCATAGCTAAAATAAATTCTTTTTTTTTTTTTTTTTTTTTTTTTTTTTTTTTTGTTTGCTTACGTTGCTTTTGGTCATGGTGCTTATCACAGCAATAGAAAAGTAGTTAATCCACTCTGCAGAGCCTCTAGCGGAACAGTCTCTTCCCCCCTCCTTAGGAGGTGTCTTAGTCAGGGTTGCTATTGCTGTGCTGAAACAACCTGACCTAAAGCAAGCTAAAGAAGAAAGGGTTCGTTTGGCTTACACTTGCATAGCACTGTTTGTTGTGGGATAGAATATGTGTTTAACTATGTAAAGATGTGTTACATTTGTCTTGAAGAATAACTGTTTAACTATGTAAAGATGTGTTGCGGTTTCACCTTGCCTGCCTAAGGCACCTTGATTGGTCTAATATAAGCTGAAAGGCCAAGAGCTAAGGGAGGAGGGATAGGCGGGGTTGGAGGGCGGAGAGCAAAGGTGGGACAGACTGACAGACTCGGAGAAGCAGGAAAGCAGGATGTGGTCAACGAGCCTCAGGGCAGCACATAGATGAAGAGAAATGGGTTGGTTGAGGTTTAAACAAGCCTAAGCTAAGGCCGAGCATTCATAATTAATAACAAGTCTCAGTGTCATGATTTGGGGGCTGGCAGTTCAAGAAAGCCAGCTACAGCTGTTCATCACTGAGGGAAGTCAGGACAGGAACTCAGCCAGGGCAGGAACCTGCAGGCAGGAGCTGATGCAGAGGCCATAGAGGGTGCTGCTTACTGGCTTGCTCCTCGTGGTTTGCTCAGCCTGCTTTCTTATAGAACCCAGGACCACCAGCCCTACAGTCTTGCCTACAGCCTGATCTTACAGAGGCATTTTCTTCATTAGGGTTCCCTCCCCAGATGACTTTAGCTTTTGTCAAGGTGACAGAAAACTATCCAGCACAGGAGACATGCACCCCCACCCCCACCCAGTGCAATCAGGTTTGCTGACTCAGCAGATCCAGAAGCTACCCCGATTCTCAAGGCCTGGCTCAGGCTGGACCTTGCTCCCACAGGGACCTGTTGACACAGCAGGTCACACAACTGGCCTAGACTTTAAAGGTAGAGAGCAGCCTCCTTTGCTATATGAGGGAATGGATCCTGGACGCAGACAGGAGGAGTTGGTGGTGGTCATATTTACAGTCTCCCACAACTGCCTTTGCACGTGCTTGAGGCCCACAGTTGAGAGTCTTTGAGAGGATGGAGGCCCTTGTTGGAGATTATTCTGGGGCCTCAGAGTGGCCCCACCCTAGACTTTCCCAGAGCAGAGCGGGGAGAATTTACCATTGCTGCCATAACTCATGCAGTGTGTACCTCAGGAACACTGAAAGTGTGTACCTGACTTCACTTGGCTCTTCCCAATTGCCATCCAAGATGACACTGTCCCTATTTTACCCAGGAGGACACCAAGGCTTGGAATGAACTGTCTTGCAGTCTCTGTTCACCCTGTATTCCACCCTCCTCGAGTGCTGTCCCTGTCCCACACAGGTCAGAGAGATTAGCAGGCACCACACAGGACCTAAAAGATCCTGTCCCTCACCCACTCGCTGTGGTATGTGACCTGGGGACAAGGCTTAGGGATAGAGGTTCTTGACTTAGATTTCCTGTGCCAGGCCTCATTCCACCATTGCCCCTGGGACAACGACCACGGGTCCCCATGCCCACATATGTGAGATGGGAATCATATCTGCTGCTTGGAACTCATTACAAAGATCAACCTGTGTCAACCTCCCCAGTGTTAGGATTACGTGTGTGTGCCACCATACCCAACTTGGGAGTGACAACTTACCGTGACTGAGGGCAGGGGGACATCAGAGTGCCGGCTTGGAAAGCACCCAGGCTCCAGGAGAGGCAAAGGTAGATGAATGCTTGTCTGTCCCTCGGGGCCCCAGCACCTGCAACTTCCCCAGCTCTGTTCTCACTGGGGCTGGGCCACAACCGTTGTGCTCTAGGTGAATTTCCCAGCGGCCCAGCCACCGCTGTTTCTGTTGTGTGACCAGTGCCCTTTGCAATGCTACGTCCTATGTCCCACTCAGTTTCCCTCTGCTGAGGGTGTCCTTGCTGTACCTTGCCTGTGGTCCTGCTTCTGTTCTGTTGAGGTGTCTCTACATCTTCATCCTACTCCTGTCCCCCCCACATAAGGTGTGGCTCTTCCATGCATGCCTCAGATAGACTGCAGATTCTGATGGCTGTGGGGAGTGGCTGCCTTCATGGTGATCTGGTGATGAGTCACTTCTGGCCTGACACATCTGGCCCCAGTGTCCTGGCCTTTAATGAAAGCAGTGTTAGCATCCGTGGGCAGGCAGCCTGTGTGAATGCTAGCATCTGCTCCCATCTTCCTTCATATCTATCTGATTTCCCAGCAGTGTCACCACCCAAGTTTCTCATCTTGTGCTTGGAGCAGATGGCCTGAGTTGGCTTGGAGTGACATCTCTGCTTCCATCCACTGGCTATCAGGGTAGCCAACTGCTTGGGACAGTCCCAGAGTTCTCCAGGGTCAGGGAAGCCATCAGGCAAATCAGAAACGAAGCCCGCCAGATTTCCCTATGTGTGGCTTTGAATGCCATGTTAAGATATTCTAGACAAATGAGTTTTGAAGTCACCTGTAAAGGGACATCAGGGTAGAAGTAAGGGTCCTGAGGACTAGATCATTATTATCATTCAGCTTGGACATTCAAGTCAAATGTAGAATCTTTCTAACTCAGTGTGACTCACAAGGCCCTCCTTGCCTCTGTAGTAATAAACCAAGAGTACGGAGTCTGCAGGTCTGGAGGACTTTGGGCTGACTCCCAAGGGACCACATAGTCTCTCGCCCAGTGGCTTACTGACTGGTTTAAGCACCTTAGTCTGTTTCTGCTGCTATAACAAAGTGCCTGAGACTGGGAAACTTACAGGAACAGAAATTCATGTCATAGTTCTGGAGACTGGTGGTCAAGGCACTGGTGGGATCCGGGCCTCTCAAACGTAACTGTTTCAAGTTGGTGCCTTGTTGCTCTGTCCTCACACAGTGAAAAGCAGAAAGCCCAAGGGCTTGCACGCTCTCCCTCTGCACCTCTCACAAGGGCTAGTCTATTCACAGGGACTGTGCCTTCATTGCCTCACCACCTTTGAAAGTGCCCACCTCTTAATGTCAGTGTGGGCAGGATTCTTCAACTCATAGTGCTTCTGCGAGGACCTGGTGACAGGATGCTGGTTGAGCTTCCTACCCCAGAGCCTGGCAAGTGTTCTGTGCTCAACCAACAATTGCCATACTGATGTCTGTGTGTGAGCCACAAAATCGTACCCTGTAACTCCAGGGCTGATGGCAGCTGTCAGGGTCCCCGGGAAGCGTCTGGCTTGGAGAGGATCTTTCATCACTCCAGTGCCCAGCACAGCAAGGAGCTCTAGTATTTTAGTTGACCACTGAAGGCTCAGAATGTTGACACTGAGTTGTGATAACTAAAAATCCACAAGAGCTGTTATGCATGCAAGGGCGGGATGGAATTCATCTACCCAACCATCCATCCTCCACAAACTGGCACATTTACCCACCCCTATCTGTCCATCAGTCCATCCGTTTATCTCATCTGCCCTCTCTCTATTCACTGATCCTTCCTTCTGCCTCTCTCACTCGTCCACCTGTCACCTCCCATCCATATGTCACCTCCCATAGCCATCATCTATGTATCATCTATCTCTATCAATTCATTTCCCATCCGTCTGTCCACCAGCCCACTCTCCCGCTCACCTACGCTCCCTTCATCTATCCATCACCCCATCCTCCTCTCGTCTACCCACCCGTCTCCCATCTGTCTATTCATTTACTCACTTAGCTTACCTATCCATATGTCTACCCATCCATCTTCTATCCATAAATCCATCCATTGCTCCAACTCTCAGCCAGCAAGCCAGCCATCTTCCACCTCTCATAGGGTGAGTCATGGCCTAACCCTGCATGGAGCCGTTGGCGTGGTGCCAGACACACGGTGAATGGCCTCCTCGGCATCACCTTCTGCCCCAGCAACTTGCAGGTTGTATATATAGTTCCTGCCTCTCCTGTGTCTTGCTAGGGTCCCCTGACATCTGGTAGTGTGAGATGGCCTTGGCCTTGTGCCCGCCTCCTATTCCTGTGTGTACTCATGTTTCTTCTACACTGAGTTTCCCTGTCACAGCTGCTAAGCGGCCATTGTGCCTAGGCCCTTTTCTGACAAGCATGTGTGTAGGGGATTGGTGCCTTGCCCCTACTTGCCCTGTTACACAGGGATGTCCCTGTCTGGTAAGTTTCTGGCTGTCGGGTGGCCGAGCTGCGATCTGCCTAACCTCAAGCTGTGTGTCTCTCTCCTCTTTCCAGGGAGTCGGACCTCTTCTTGCTGGACAGCCGTACCCTCTGGGCTTCTGAGGAGGGCTGGCTGGTGTTTGACATCACAGCCACCAGCAACCACTGGGTGGTCAACCCTCGGCACAACCTGGGCCTGCAGCTTTCCGTGGAGACCCTGGATGGTGAGTTCCAGAGACCAGCACCTCTCGTCTCAGAGGAACCTCAGGCTTCCAAAGGGGCTCAACAGCAGCCCCCAAGCTTGCTTTTACTCGAGCCAGTGTCCTCTGATGCCGCCCATTCAACCAGGCCTCAAGACTCTAGCTTCTTTTCTGAACCCAGTGTATCCTCTTGCATTAAACAAGGACATTGGGAGTTGGTCGAGTTGGGCAAGCTGGGCCGGAGACAGCGTTTGCAGTCATTTACACATGTAGAATCTCGTATCAACCCAGACGTGCTGCATGAGAACTGCACAAGGCTAGAGCCCTGAGGTGGCACGCATGCGCGCGCATACACACACACACACACACACACACACACACACACACACACACACACACACCACAGCAGGCTTTACCGGACAGGCTTTTCAGCTCATTGTTCTTGGCACTCCTGGTCGTCCTGGGCACTGGAGCATGGTTGCTGGCATCCTGACCTTCTAAGCATTGGGTCATCCCGCCCCAAAATGTCTTCAGACATTGCCAAATGTTCTCTGTGGGATGATATTGAAGGACTGTAGTCACGTTGGTGGAGAAGCCATTGTCAGCTGGTCCTTCCCCGAAAGTCTCACTCCCTATCAGGTGTGTCTGTGTATGTGCGTGAGCACGTGAGTGAAGGTGACCTCAGAGGCCAGAAGAGGGCAGCAGATTCCCTGGAATTAGAGTTACAGGTGATTCTGAGGTGAATGCTATGGGTACTGAGATCTGAACTTGGGTCTTCTGCAAGAGCAAGAAGTGTTCTTCACCTTGAACCATCCTTCCAGCTCCCTTTCTACCAGTTATTATTATTATTATTATTATTATTATTATTATTATTATTATTAGTTTTGCTTTTTGAGATAGGACTTCTTTGTGTAGCTTTGGCTGTCCTGGATTAAAGCATGCACCACCACTGCCTTGGCACCTTTTCACTGGTTTTAAGGGGGAAAGGAAAACACATTGGTTTTCATTCATTTTGGAATAGGAAATACTCATTCCTCCATAGTCAACATGATGGAAATGTGTCACAGTAAATAGTTTTCCCCTAATTTCCTTCCCCCAGATTCTGAGTTCCACTTTCCAGAGGTAACTCCTACTTAGCACTTGTGGGTACCTTTACAGGGATGATGTCTGGGTGCTTTAAGAGCTTAGACCTGGATTTTGATCTCTGGTTTTTTTTTTTTTTTTTTCGAGACAGGGTTTCTCTGTGGCTTTGGATGCTGTCTTGGAACTAGCTCTTGTAGACCAGGCTGGCCTCGAACTCACAGAGATCCACCTGCCTCTACCTCCCAAGCTCTGGGATTAAAGGCGTATGCCACCAATGCCCGGCTTGATCTCTGTTTTGCTTCTCATACAAATGATGGTGTAGCCAGACTTTCTTGTTGGACGTTTGGGAGACCAGCTCCCCAATAATGAGACTTATTATCATTTATGAAAGCTTGGCCTTTAGCTTAGGCTTGTTCCCAACTAGTCTTATAACAAAATAACCTATTTCTATTAATCTATGTTCTTCCACGTGGCTTTTACCTCTCTTCCATTCTGTAAGTCCAACTCTTCCTTTGTCTCACTGGTGTCTTAGATTTATCCCCCTGAATTACTCTTTCTCCCGGAAGTCCCGCCTCACCTCTTTCTGCCTAGCTGTTGGCGATCTATCTCTCTATACAGCCAATCAGAAGGCGCCCTAGCAGAGACGCCTCTTCACAGTGTACAAAAAGAATATCCTACAACATGATGGTGTTTGGTCTTAGTTACTTTCCTGTTCCTGTGATAAATACCATGACCAAGATGACTTATAGACAAAAGGGTTTATTTAGTGAGGACATCATGGCAGCAGGGAATAGACTTGGCGACAGGAATAGAAGCACCCAACTTGCATCTTCAAACAGAACACACGAAACACAAGCCAGAAGTAGGAGGGGCATTTTACTCTCAAAGCCCGCCCCGGTTACATACTTCCTCTAGCAAGGCTGCACCATAAACCTCCCCAAAAAGCGCCACCAACTGGGGGCCCCAAGTGTTTAAATGCCAAAAACTATGGGGGCATTTCTCATTCAAACCGTCACAGTGCTCAGGTGACAACTTGTCTTGGAGATTGGTCACATCTCCATTAAAGAGCTTTCTGATTCACATTAAGGTGTGGTTTATGACCACACAGCATTAGTGTCCAGAGCCATGCTCTCCCATGACTTTGGACTGTCAGAATCATGGCAGTGTCACCTCCAGCATGCAGGAGGTAAGGAGTGCTGGCCATAGGGTTGTTAGGAGGTTCCATGGGTTGGTGTGGAGAGAGATTTAAAATTGTGTCTCAGTGGGAACGTGGAGAGGTAAGGACACTTACCGTTGAAACTGAGTTTAATCCTTGAGCCCCATATGGTAGATGGAGGCCTCTGCCCTCCACACATGTATGGTGGCATGTGTATCCCTCCTAGCACGTGTGTGGCTCCCAGAGGGTTTCCCAGGGCACCTCTCAAAATGTAGATTCAATGTGAATAGGCCTGGGTACAGGAAGTCAGTCTTTCCACACAGCCTCTCCTGCTGCCCAGGATGCTGGCTGCTGGTCCCTAGACCACACTGTGAATGGTCAGGACTTAGATGTGTCCTGAATAAACTGTGGCTATCACTACTGCTGTGTGAGCTGGTATTTTCCCCTCTGTGGCTCTTGCGAGGAGCCTGGCTCCAGCCCTTTCCCACTGGGTGGGTTAGGCTCATGTCTGAACTTGACCCTGCCTGTGGTACTTATAGTCCACATCTTCAACCTCCCAGATGCCCCCAGCAGTGTGGCGGGTGCCTGTTGCCTCTCCCTCAAGAGTCCGAGCTCTCACAGCCGCCCTTCCTTACTGTGACCCATAGGACAGAGGCACCTTGCGTGTAGTAGCACTTCTCCCATAGAGGTGTGGCGTTCCACAGGTGCAGTCTGCAGTCTTTGCTTTCTTCTTTGTGTTGTGTGTGTATGTGTTCTCCAGTGTGTGTGTGTGTGTGTGTGTGTGTGTGTGTGTGTGTGTGTGTGGTCTAGGCCAGAGAACAGCTGGAAAAAGTCAGTTCTCTTGCCGTGTGGGTTGCGTCAGGTGGTCAGTCTTGGCGGCCAGCACCTTCACCCGCTGAGCCATCATCTTGCCTCCCACCCTCTGCCTTTTTCTTTACTCAGATTCTGGGAGATGAAAGCCAGCCCCTCCCTGACCTCCTCCCAGCCCTGCTTCTCACCTGAAGCCCGTGGCTCCGGAGATTGCATTCTGCTCAGTCCTGATTCTTTGCCGTTTAGTTTGTTTTTCTTTGTCCTTGTGGCCCCCGACAAGAGTGGACGTGATCACTTTCCCTTCTATGGTTCCCGGGCTCTGCTTCTTTCCCTTCTTGTCAGAGGCCATGTCTTTTGTCTGGAATTGGAGGCCCTAGCTCGAATCTTGAGGGTGACTGAAGTGTGTCTGGCTTAGGCAACCTGACTTCATTTTCTTCAGTCCAGATGCAGAGAACTGTGACAATCCTGATCCTTCCACATCTTCCAGAACATTCTTTTGTCCTAGCTTCAGAAAGCTCATCCAAGCTCAAGGCTGTATGGAGACCACAGTGTTGGGCTCACGCTCTGCTTTCTGGATTGTTCCATGACCTCCCCTCGCTCCCATTCTTTATCAGCCTTTCCTGCCCCTGAGACTCACAGGGGTCTCTAGGAAGTTCTGGAGTCCCACTTTCTGTATCAGGGGTTGGTAAATGACACCGTGATGACCACTTTCAGTTTGAAGGCTGTTTTGTCATTTTCCAGGTTTTTTTTTTTTTCTTCTGTGTATGTGAATGTGTGTGTGTAGGGGTCGTGTGCATGGATACATACACACATGTAGATGTAGAGGTCAGAGGTCAAGATCAGCTGTCTCCCTCCATCACTGTCCACCACTTTTTTTTTTTTTTAAAGACAGGGTCTCTCACTCAATCTGGACCTCACTGATTAGACAGATAGCCTGTCCAGTGAACTCTAGAGATCCACCTGTCTCCACCCCCCACCCAGCCCCAGGACTGGGGTTACTGATGCTTGCAGCCATGCTAGAGATCCAGTCACACCCCTGTGCCTGCCTGGTGAGCAGCACTTTACCCCCAGGACCATCTCCCCAGCCTGAATGTTCAGAATTTAAACAATTTCCAACAAACAGGAAGAAAAGTCTGGTTGGCACAAGAAGTGCTATGATACTCACTTTATCGTCCACAAATGTGTCCGGTGGCTCCAGCCACGCCCATCTGTCCCTGTGGTCCACAGCAGCTTTTGAGCTCCAACCACAGAGTTGCATAGCTGTGACAGACACCCGATAAGCTGCCGAGTTGGGCATGCTGGCTCTTTTGCGAACAATAACTTCTGGGGAAGTTTATGGCATTGGTCCTGCACTGGCCTTCCTCAGCCCATGCTCCCTGAGGAGCCACAGGTGCCCCTTGGAGGGAAGGGTCACGGTCTGTTAAGTATGAGGAATGCCAGCTGGATAAACTAAACAGGGCTTCTCTTGAGGACTTACCCAAGTGTCCCCGGTTAATCTCAGGGTGAGGGCTTCGCATAGAAGAATTCAGAGGGTTTTCTTGCAACAGGATAATTCAGCTCTTAAAAGTCCCGGTGTGACATATGGGAGAGGAGAGGAAAATGGAGTTTGGAGGCGAAGACAAACTTGATTTCCCTCCTCAGAATGGTTGTTTCTTTGGATCTGGGGACACCTGTTGGGACTTGCAGTGTGACTCAGTGGATCCTGAGTGTCTGTGTCCTGCCAGCTGTGCTGGCTCATGTGTCTCAGTTTGGATTTTCCCCTTAGGTGGCTTGTACTCAGCGGCCAGGCCCCTCTCCCCTCTCCTTTCCCTGACAGGGCTCAGCAGGCTTTGAGGTAGGGCAGCCTGGTACTTAGAGCCCCGCCTCGAGAGCCAGGTGGCCCAGGCTTGCATCCCAGCCCTGTTGTCCCCGGTTGGTGGCTAAGGCAAATTATCAAAGAACAACCCTCTTCTGGAAGATGGGCCAATGGCAGTTC